TGCTTTGCATTAGTTGAATAAAATTACCCCAGCTTCGACATCCCAACTCGTTTTCGGATTACCCCCCCCCCCACGTCCCGAATATCGTGACCGTACGTCGAGCGGTTAAGATTTGTGCCCAACTGTTGACGCACGGACGGACGCACGGACGCACGGACGATCATGCGATTCTACAAGCTGCATCTGACTATGTCAGATGAGCTAAAAATCTGTTAAACTATTTCGTTTACTGAATAGCTGAAGTCTAAAAACCGAACTCAATGAAAAACACGACTTTGCATTTGAGTAACGATGCACACACGGTAGCAAGACAACTTGACTTTAACAATGTGCATTTATACAACAGCTCTAGCATCAATGATTTACACACTTACAACTTCTGTCAGCTTGACGAAAACCTAGTACATAAGTGGGCTGGCACGCGCTAGTACTCAGGAGTGGCAGTGTTTGCAGCTTCTCAATAAATGGTAGTTGGCGCTCCTGTCCTGTCCTCAGTCTCCTGTCCTGTCCTGGGCTCCTCTCCTGTCCCGGGTCTCCTGTCCTGTAACCACATCAAAGACAACAATCTAACACTCACCCTCTAGAGGCTTTATAATACATAATTTTAATGTACCATATTTACTCGTGTATAAGACGCACCCCCGTATTTTGCCTTGAAAAGTTGGAAGTGGTTGAATCCACAAAATTTAGGAAAATGTAGAAAAACCTGTGATGTAGATGAAAGTCAATGCCAAAGTTCTTTCCTAGGATCAAGAAAGGAATTACTCACTGTAGGGTAGAGCTAGTATGGAAAATTAGCATGCAAGATGTTTGAATTACCAAAAAGTTAGCATGCTCCAATCCCAGCTTTATGTCTTCACCTTGCACATTGGCACCAATTATTCCTCTTCTCTCTCTGATATGCCTGCAATGACATTGCATGAAACACATACAGAGTGAACGGATAACAAATAATCTAGCTTGCACCGGTATTTATACCATAGATAACCCACAAGCTATAATAATGATTATTTACGTTTTAATCTTGATTTAAAATTCTAAATCAGTTTACATATTTCTACAATTCAATAGTCATTTCTAAATTAAATCGGTCTTAAACATTGTCAATTGGTTCCAATTTATGTTTTTCATAGGAACTGCTGTGTCCCTATGTCACTGACACGATGACATGTGGACAGTTATATGTTGCAATCATATACCTGTACTCACCTTGCTCAATACCTGTCCACCCAACACAGGAGTCTTCATAACATGACAATATTAATCTTTGCCTGCGATGTCTCATAGTCGCCGCTACTGGTACACTGTGGCTCGTTATTACGATGGGCCTCATCAGTGCAGATGTTTCGCAGATTGTATCTGTTGGTTTTTTTCTTCGTTTTCCTCTCCTTCTTCTTCGTCTTCGTCAACATCGTCGTCGTCTTCTTCTTCGCCTTCTTTTTCTTTCTCCTCCTTCTTCCTCGAGATGATTTTAAACCCCTGCAAAAGTTAGTATGAAGGTTATACCCTATGGTGTGATAGATTAATGTTAAGTATCCGGCTAAAAGCTAGTAGCTATAGCTTGTTGCTTGACCACCAATGGTTTGAGAGGAATCGATTAAAAACAGACCGGATGTGTAGCACTGCAGCACTCTATTACCATCAACATTTACCTAGATATTTACCTGGATGCCACTTGTCCCCCCAAGACAAGTGGCTAGGGGTTAGGAAGCTATAAAGCTTATATAAAACCCTTGTTATGCAGAAATATATCGAGATGGCATCTGAACTGATCTACAGTCTGGCATAATACTGCCTCAGTGGGGAGACTAGACTGTTCCATAGGTCGACTACTCGGTGACTAAAGAAGTATTTGCGGACGTCTAATCTGGCTCGCTGTTTGTATAACGTAAAGAAGGTTGGTGATTCAATTGTGTTTTCAAAAAATTCCACATTGGACAGAGCGAGGTTTCGACTCCACAATGTACATACACAGATACTGTTGCTAAAACGATATTACATTAGGTCGCTACACTTGCTTCTTTATAAATATTAATGTATCACTGACCAAGTGTTTCCCCTGGCCAAAAAGATCAGCGAGGAGGTAAAAATTTTTGTTAGTTGCAGAATCCGAGAAGCGAGCAATGCGAGCACCGAAGGTGATCGCGATGCTAGGGGGGTCCGGGGGCATGCTCCCCCGAAAAAAAAAAATGGTGCAATTTGGTGCATTCTAAGCTATTCTGAACACATTATATGAGACTCTTGAATCACTTTTTCAAGTTGCCAAAAGGAACAAACAAGCTTCTGGGAAAGGTTTTACTCTCGTTTTCTCCTCCCCAGTCCTCGGTACCCCCATGCATAGATCAATGCTGCCCCATATCCGCAAAGTTACAAGTGCCTAGAATCTTGAAGTATATACAGTTTACATTGCTTCTAGATATCTAACTGAATAAAAATAGTCCACTTTCTACGTAAAGAAAAGTGACGAATTCAGTTAACAGCTTTGATTACGTGCGTGTCAGGAGCCACTGGTCGTGCCCTCACTCCCCACGATAACCCATACGACATATGAACTTATTGTTATGCGGTCATAAAAACACTGCCCAGCTACGCTACATGCTGCCGCAATCGATTTCTTAGACTGGCACAAGGTTTTGTTCGTGTGGCGAATCATGCGTTGAGGGAGTTCATGCCCTCAGCTCTAGATGTTTTGGATACCCCGTCTACGTTCAGGAACGGAGCGTATTAGAATGCGCTCCCCTTTACAATTCTGTCTAAACTGCCGTTGCAATAACCCGTTGGGATATTAACCGTAGACGTAGTATTTCAGCGTAATACGAGGGGAAAAAGTGCCGGTCAGGAGGACCGGCAGTTTCGTAGCGATGGTGGCCGAAGCAAAAACTTGGTGGCCTCGGGCCTCCGGGTCGGCACTAATTTCGACCGCTGTCAATAAAGTGTAGTTTATTCAGGGATAGGAATGACAATTTGTGTTTTCAGCTGAAAATAGCCGGGGTCCAACGGGGCCGGGGGGGGGCGGTCAGGTCCAGGGCAAAGCTATCAGAATTGTTACACAGCATATTACAGTACACTGCAAGGAGTATATCTTGCACTGTCATTATCATAACACTAGAATTAATAATTAATACAATAAAAAGGGGAGGAGAGGGAGGAGGAAGAATAAAACGGCGAAGAATAAGCAGGAGAAGAAGAAAGGGAGAAGGAATGAGAAGATGAAGAAAAGAAGACAAAGAAGAAAGGGAGGAGGAGGAGGAGGAGGAGGAGGAGGAGGAGGAGCATCAAAAGTTGTGCTTCAGCCAATCACTGTCAACAGGCGAGATCAACTGACTGACGTTGCAACGAACACTTAAGAGCGATATAACAGCTCACCAGCTCTACAGAAACTGGCTTCTTTCCGGCGAGATCTATGACACGTGACATCATTTGTTCGCTAGTTAGTACTCCATTTTCTGTCGGAGTGTCTCATGGATTGTGCAAGGTTTCCTTCATTCTCCGTTATCGCCTACAAGCGCCACGATTACAGGTAAGACATAGAGTAATCATAAACGCATTGCGCATGTGATGCTATAAATAATACTGTTATTAAATACAGCTCAGTGATAAATGTGCTTTATATAAAAGTAATTAAGTTCTTTGAAATACAGGCGAATGTGTTCACTTCAGTACAGTTCTCATTCAAATCCGTCACACCTCAAGCAGGCGTGATGTGTGCGTATCTTCCACGCTGTTTTCTTCAGTTAATTTTAAAATAAATTAACCATCCACCAATCCATCGACCCATCCATCTAACCACCCACTCACCCACCCTCCTGATTTTGATTTTTTCAAGGACATTTGACGTTCTATGTAAGAAGACGAAGAAGGGGAGGAGGACGAAGAGGAAGGAGAAGAAGAAGACTAAAACGAATAAGAACATGGAGGAGAAGGAGGAGGAAAACTGTCAGCAAGCGAGTTCAACTGACTGAATCGTTGTAATGAACACTTAAGAGCGATACAACAGCTCGCCAGTTGTACAGATCAGCAGATCGGGTGGAGGAGCTTGGAAGACTATAGATATTACAACTGTAGCATCACTATGTAAAAGATGATAGTAAATCTCCAGAGAGAATTCCGACAGTGATATCTTACGTTATGTTATGTTCCGATACTTATGTCGAGTTGAGCTGCTCTACTTGGGATATAATGACAAGGTATTGTGTAAACTCCTTTGTGGCTGTCATCGCAACAAATTATCTCTACAGATCTCGGCACAATTAACGTGGTCGCTTGGCTCCCTCGCCTGGTCGCTTCGCGCCCGAGCAGGGGCGTGTACAGGGGGGGTCCAGGGAGTCCGGACCCCACCTTGCTCGCGCAGAAAACGCATCTGAGGGGGTCTAATTTTAAAATTGTTTAAAAGACCCCCCCTTCGCGTGCTCGCAACTTTGGGCTACGGTTAGACCCCACCCTGGTACAAATCCTGTACACGCCCCTGCCAAGCAAATTGCCAACATTGAAAAACGAACCCCCCCCAATATAAAGCTGGCTACGGGCCTGCATGCTCATGCTGGCCGGCTTCACTCGAGAGTAGAGTGGCTTTGCTTGACCAAGTGCCATGATGCTAACTTTATCATAGGACTATGGAGAAAGCTTACCTCGTAATTATGAAATGTCTAAAGTCTCCCCACTTTTCATAGCCAGTATCATACAGCAAGAAATTGGTTTAATTCTTTGTTTTAATGTTTTAAATTCACTGAAACATAACAAACGTCACGCCATTTTATAAAGTAGTGAAAGCGCCATCTCTAGGTTCATATAGGAGCTAAATATGCATTTTCAATCAAAAGTTTTTCACCCTCCCCAAAGCACAAAATGTGGATATACGGTTATAATACGCGTTTTTACAGTCATATAAAACACATATATACGCACACACAAACGGACGCGCACTCCTTCCCGTTCTCTCCTATTTCCTTCCTCCGCCCGTCTAACTACCTTCCCCTCAGTATTTCAGTATCACCCGCGGCATCAGTTGCACGGTGAAAAGTTTGCCAGGCAAATGGACTTCAAGTTTTCAGCCTCAGCTTTTTCACCCTCCCCCAAAGCATAAAATATTATTACACGGCTATAATACGCATTTTTACAGTCACACAAACACACATCCACCCACACCCACGGACGCGCACACGCGGGCGTGGTCGCACGCACGCGTGCGCGTGTATTTTCGGCGTAAATTCACATTTTGTGCCTCGGGGAGGGAAAAAGTTTCGGCTGAAATACGGTCATTTTGCTGCAAAAGTTTTTCCATGCTTGACTGGTCATGGGCGATACCATCCGCGAGAGGGGAGTAAGGAAGTGAGGAAGAGGAAACGGAGAGGGGCGAGTGTATATATTTATATATAATATCAAGAGCTAATAATACCTAGGTATTATTAGCTCTTGATAATATGTATATATATATATATATACTATCTGTGTGTATAT